ATTTTATAAATATGTGATGATTTCCAATATGCATAGATGACCGAGAAGACCGTAGTGGCTTGAAGGTGGCAAAGTGGAAAGCATGATGACACAATTTAGCACAACATACCTTGAAAAATCACAGTCTTTATTTTTTCCATGCATATCAAATAATCCTTTTTCAGACAAGATACTTCTTAATAATATTTGAATAGAATAACTCCCATTTTGAAGTACGATGTCATCTTAAGCAAGTAAGCAGCAGCAGCATGGAAGAAAAGCGTCTTACCAGCAAAAGAGCTAACGCGGACAAGGGCGTTAGAACTTCAGAGGAAGAAGGGTGGGAATCAGAAAAGTTTCAGTTCACAGAATTAATTTGATCGGACAAGAGGCATCTGCATTACAACGTTACATAAGATAGAAAAGTCTGGAACCTGTGAGAAGAGATGAATTCAGGGGCAGATTACCAAATTTAGAATGTTAATTTTGAGGTCGTCAATTATTTTTTTGAAACAGCTATCATATTTGTATATCTTATATATATATATATATATATATATATATATATATATATATATATCTCAAAGCAGCAATAATATATATATATATATATATATATATATATATATATATTGCTGCTTTGAGATGGTGTAGTCTCTGCATGTGATTTCAACATGGGCTTTGGATAGCGAATGGGTTACAGGGAAGGTAGGTATCCAATCTTTGACTCTCTTGATGGCTGGCTCAGAAGGTACATTGTTAGTGTAAACTATGATACTAAAAGAGCCAAAATCATTTGTTTCTGTAAGTAATGACTAAGTTCGATTTTCCTTTTAAAAATCATCTCCTGTCAGCTGTGATCAACCAAAAATCACTTCACAGTCAACTTTGATAATGTTGGCCAATCCTGATGTTATACCGTATATCTCCAAAATGAAAACAATTTTTTTTTAAATTTCCCATAAAAAACATGGAGTCCTTTTGCATATGTGAGATGTGATATGAAGTTTTCTTTTCTTTACTGAACAATATCACAAACGTCCGTTAATCTCGAAATCTACTGTCATTCACATCTATTGCTTTTAGCTTTGAACATTTCCTTGTGTTTTGAGCATTGTTTCATTATAGTGCATAGAGATTTCTGTGGCAGTAATATAGCTAACTGTTGCAAAAAACATTTTTTTATCAACTCCTGTAAGATGTTGTAGATTCCACTTCTGAACTTTGCAGTAAAGTACTGTATTAAAAGCAATTTACTGTATTAAAAATAGGTGGTATGTATGCATTATCTCTTTGACTCATTTTACAAATATCCTTATATTAAGGGATCGTAGTGTTTTGTATTTATAATATTTTTTTCAAAATCATTGTTGTTTGGCATGAAGCAACAAGCAATTAAGGAAATATGGTGTCACTAATATTTAGAGGTGGTGAGAGGATAAAGAACATGCTAAAATTATTCATTTTATTAGGAAAACTTTCATTGGCCTACAGAATGGAGGTTTGTTTATAAGGTATTTCTCCCACTTTCCTAGCGTCCTTCGTGGTGTAGTAGTCAGCACACTGAGCCGGTATTTCAGAGGCCTGTGGTTCGATTCCCGGCGAAGGCGTTTGCTATTTTTCATCTTTTCTGCCTCTAAAAAATCCTAATGACTCTACATGTTCATGAGAAACATGAAGAAGGAATGACTGTTTCCTGTGATGTCATGCAAATCAAAGCATGCGGAAATCTGCCTACTCTGGGTGGTGTACAAGAATATGTGATGTGATGGACTGTGATGTCAAAACATCTCTTGCTGATCACTTCCAGCAGCTTGATTATCAGTGACATATTAAGATTGAGTAAGAAACATGATTACCTCAGCATGTTATTCATTACAACCATTGAAGAGAAAGGTATCAAAAATGTATTGCTTCATACTTTGGGCAACAAGAAATTGTGAATCACTGTGATGTTGTGTGTTCTTGCTGATGGATCAAAGATCAAATCCTACATTATCCTTAATCATAAAACTATACCAAAAGATAAGCTAATAATTGGTGTCATATTTCATTGCAGTGGAAAAGAATAGATAAAAGTAAGCTGTTTTAGAGTGTTTCTACATGCGTGAAGTTAGAAGAAGGTTCTGTTTTAAACAAAAGTGGGATGTTGATTCGTGATGAATCTCGTACTACCAAATGAAGGAAAAAATCCTCAAATTAAACACAAATCTCATCATTCCCGAAGGCATGACTTTGCAATTGTAAATATTAGATGTAATGGTGAATAAGTCATTTAAAGGCCATCTGAAACAGCCATACAGCAATTGGTTGCTTCAAAATGTTCAAGCCTTGACCCCTTCTGAGAAGTTAAAGAAGCCTTCAGTGGCTGTAATTGCAAAATGGTTCCAGACTATTTGGACATGCATATCCAGTACATTGAGTGTGAATGACTTTAAGAAGTGTTATATAACAAATGCATTAGATGGGAATGAAAAAAAACTACCATGGGAATAAGATCAAGATCACATCATAATGGCAGTGTCACCTGAGATGCTCCCCTGTGGAATGATGCTTGCAACACCAGAGTGCCTGAGCCTAGACTCCACCCCTTGTAGAATTAATTTGTTTGCTTAGAAAAATAGTGAATAGTAACTAATCAATTAAGTAGTAATTTTTTTAAGAAACTGTCTTGAATTAGATTTACGAAATAGTAAGTAATGTATTAGGTTAGTAAGCTGGGAAAATGACAAGCTGTTTAAATGGTTTAGGCACAGAAGCAGTGGAGCTGGTGACATAAAATACATACAGTCAAAAGTCGTTAATTCGGACACCCATAATCCCGAATGATCTATAATCCGGACCTCAAAGCTACAAACATTCTGCATATGCGCATGCACATAATGCGTTAACGCATGCACGTTTAATGTATAACGGATGGTATAAGCTAAGCTAAAATTATCTAATTCAGTTAATGTTGCAGATTGTGTTGTTCCTTAATCTTCGAATTGGATCCGGCTTATTATTTTTTGCAGACTGTTAGAGCAATTTTATAAAAGTAAGTTTGAACTTTCAATTATGTCAAATAGAATTTCCGATATATATTTACTAATATGTAAAGGATCTACAAAGCGAAAGTATGTTTTGAAGTCCATTAAACAAAGAGTGGAATTGCTGCAAAAAATGGATAAAGGCATATCCTTTGTTTATCTAACCATTCCAAAATCTGTTTATAAATTTCAGCCGGGGGGGGGACGTCGCGGCGTGCAATGAATTAGAAGATGATTTGTCAGCACTATCCTTATCTTCAGGGCAGATGTTTTTATTTTATTTGGCTTATAATTCCTTACTAAATGTAGTATTTCATCTCGATGTACTCCATCTTTGATATGATTTAAATCAAATTCCTCGTCATTATAATTCGTTTCCGATAGTGAAGAAAGTGACACAGAGGTTATTGAAAACGAAAAAAATTCAATTGACAAATTAGTCGGTATTCTCGACACAGCAATTATAGGACTTGAACAGCAGAACTTTGTAACTGAAGAAGATATGAAACCGTAATTTATGAAATAAAGAGCAATTATGATCTAAAGGGTATCAAAATTTACAAAAAAAAAAAGCTTAATATTTACTTGTTTACTTTATTAAACATTTCTTTCAATGTAAGTTGTTTAAGTTGCTTTGTTTTTTGTGCTAATACTTTCTCTTTAATTCTATAAACAGACATAATTTCTTGTTCAGTTACAAAGTTTCACTGTTATAAAGTCCTGTCATTGTCGTGTCGAGAATACCGACTAACTTGTCAATCGAAATTTTTTCGTTTTCAATAATTTCTCTGTCACTTTCTTCACTATCGGAAGTGCGCATGGGTAAATGCATTAAGTGCATGCGTTGGTTTGTGGCTTAAAGATCCGGATTACGGACTTTGTATATAACACAATTACAGAACTGATACATGGGAGACCTGAGATACTGTGGTCCATTCTACTGAGGAAGTTTAAGTGGGATCTGTATCTGACTAAGAAGGTCTGAATCTAATTTTACAAAATATACGTAATCTAGTATGTGCTTCACACATTTTTCAGTAATCCATTTTTAAAAATGGAAGGTTTATCTTGGATTTGGGCATATATGCTAATAAATAATACTACACATAAAATAAACATTAATTGACTGTTTTTTTTATTATTAGGGTTTCACTTCAATTATACTTTGAATTTTGGGGTTTCATATACATGGATTTTTCAATATCATGTTAATTTAGTACTAATTACTGTATTGATTTTATTCATAATGGTAGATTTTACACAGCATACAAATTTTCTAAATTTTTCCACTGATATGATAGAAATTGTATTAAGTCATAATGTTGCAGCATACTTTTATTTATCACATTTTAAAAACTTTTATTTGTAACATATAAACTTCAAATTTATTATGAAAGTCTCAATTAAAATATATATATTATATATATATAAAAGCCATTTCTAAGATGCCTATTATTTATTATTATGTGTAACATTCAACCCAAATTTTTTTCCTTTCAATTAGTGTATACCATTCATTCATTTTTCATTAATACTAGAACTTCTTGATTCTTCACATTTTAAAAACTTTTATTTGTAACATATAAACTTCAAATTTTATTATGAAAGTCTCAAATTAAATATATATATATAATATAAAAGCCATTTCTAAGATGCCTATTATTTATTATTATGTGTAACATTCAACCCAAACTTTTTTCCTTTCAATTAGTGTATACCATTCATTCATTTTTCATTAATACTAGAACTTCTTGATAATAAATTTTTTTGTATTTTATTAAAGGTTCAAATGAAAACGTGGAATTAATTTTGAGAACTTCAGAAAATAGAATATGTTCTGAAGATATACAAATATTTATTTTATATTCTCACGAAAAGCAAAATAGAGAAAATGTTCACAGTTTAGTAGACTTTCTACGTCAGTGTGGGTATGAAGTTATATTGGATGATGATTTCATAGAATATCTTTGTATCGATGCATCTAGCTGGCGAGATGAAGTCTTGAAACATACATGTACTAGAACAGGAAGTACATGCAATTCAAACAAAAAATATATCCTTGTAGAATCCGAGGGAGCTGTGGATTTCATTGAATATAGAAGAGAGATTTTGGTAAGGATATCTTTGATCTGAAAATAAAACACATTCTGTTGTCATTCTTTGTTTCATTTACTGTCATGCAGCCAATTTCATATATATACTCATTTTTAACTACATAATTCTAAAAATTATTAAACATGATGAAAATAATTTTATTCATATATATTGACATATAAATAAATGCAGGGAAAATTGGATGCAGATTTTTGCTTGAATATTTATTATATTATATTACTTTCACTAACTCAAAACAAGCCAGAGTGTATTAAATATTTAACTGCCACTATGGAAATAAATATATTGAATATTGCCCACAAGCGTGGAATTCTGTAATTTATTAAGGCACAGTGAATATTTTCCTAACTGGATATTTTGCTCTAAGGGGGACCATATAAAAGCCATATTTTGTATTTACAGAATAGCACCATTCATAGTGATGAAGGTATTTTCTTAATTTAAGTCTCTAAAATCATCTGATTTTTTTTATTCTAAAAAGTCCAGGATCAGTAATTAAGAAAATGCATTGTATACATTGTATCTGTCAATTTTACTTTTATTTCTTAAGATTGTTTTTGGTAGGAATAAATGTAAACAATGTAAAATATTTTAATTGAAACTTGCAAGAAAAAAGCATATGAAGTTTAAAAATAATTGTAGTCCATTTAAATATTCCTAAATAGTTATATTATTTTTTATTCATTATAATGAAAGGTGTATGGAATAATGTTCCAAGGTATGTTGTTTGAGCTTAGAACATAGTTCTTTAAATAGTTGGGAAAATAGTACAGAGATCTTAAAATGCTGTACAAAATTGATTTCAATTAGTTAAAGAGGATTTTTTTAATTAAAATAAATAGACAGAGTAATAGTTAAATATTGTAACTAAAAAATTAGAATTTCAACTACTTGGTCGACAGAATGTTTTCATTAAAATGTTGTAATTAAAACTGCAGTGATGTATTTGCTGTAGTGTATAATTGTTATCTTTTATGTAAAATTATCTTTGAGCAAAATAGTAGCAGGCTATTTTGTAATAGCAAATAGTATTGTAGCAGGCTATTCCAAACTTAATCTGATATTTTATATTTTTGATTATGTATTTTGTAATTATTATGTAGTATTTATATATTTAGTACTTAATAGTGTTATATATTTAGTATTGATATAATAGTATTTAGATATTTTGTATTTAGTGCACTTGAAGCCTTTCTCAGGGGATTTCCAGTTATCAAAACTAACTGGTAACATGATCGAGTACTCATGAGAAATAAAATTTTCTCGCCTATCAATAAAATCCGTGATTCTGTTATAAAGGATTCAGTTTGTGATTTTAATTCGTGGGCAAATTTAGGATATCTTGTCAATGTGATTTGAGATATATCAGCCAAACTAAAAGAGTATTAAAATTTTACAACAAAAAGCACAAATCTTATGTCCAAAAAGAAGACATTAACAAATCTTCAATAGCGTTATTCAATTATTTAGTAGCACTAAAACTATATATGGAAAAGCAATAGCTATTCATTCTTTAAATGATGTTCTCAGAATGTAGCATTTAGCTTTCTATTTTATTAGTAAGTTGATTGTTTTATTTGAGATTCTTTTGAGGAATGACATTTACAACAGATAGCTAGCTATTCATAGCTGGAATTTAATCACTTTGGGTCTGCAAAAATTATCCAAAAACCTTCTTCAGTTAGTGAATTGGATTTTCTTCCTTACAGCTTTTCACATTCACAAAGATTTATCTTGGTTAGTTGATGACTTAATTCCAACCAAGTCTATCCTGATGCTTTCAAAATTCAATTAACTTAGTTTTTTTACTATTTCTGTGGACAGATGGCACTACCATATCATTCACTTTACTTCTTTTTAAGGGGTATATTGTTTCAACGAACCCAAATACTTGACGTGCAGTTTATCGTACTTAACTTACATATGTACACTGTCTGAAGAGAAAAAATATACTTGCCTTAGATGTAAATGAGACTATGCGTGCAATTCTAAGCTATGTCTACAAAGGATTGCTATTGCTTTTACCGCAAATGGATGGTCTCTGTACTATTTTGGACAAAGAAGAAAGAACCTTCCTTAGAAACTCTACCTAAGATGCAGACTCCCAAAAATAGTATCTTTACCAAGTGCTTAAAAATCTATCCAAAGATTTTCAAGACAGTTTTCTTTCTTTAAATGAGAACTCAAATCTTCTAGCTTTTATTACAAAACCCAAAGCATTCATAAGCAAGATGAAACATGCTAGATTCCCCTGGCAAAAATTAATAATTGGATTTGAAATAGTTAAACTGTTAGAAGAAAGGTATTTATGCAATTGAAATTGTTTTGCATGACCTCACATTCCGATAATCGTAGTGCTAATTTAAGGTGCCTCTTAAATTTTAATTCCTTCATGGACTTTTTGCATCATCTCAGATTTCTATCTCTGGCAGTAATCTGAAGAACCTTTTATATGATATGGCATTACTTAAGAGCTGGACATGTTGTGCTTGATGCGGTATTCACAGCAAGTAGATAGATCCCTTCTTAAATCATTAGATGCTGCCTGCTGATGCACACGACAATTGGTCACACGACAACCTTCTGTAGCACCTCCAATCCTTGCCAATTTTTGCACCATGTTACAGAACTCCAAAGTCAAGTGTCTATCACGACTTAAATTCAGAGGGCAGAAAATGTCGTACAAACATAACATGATATTCGCGGCATTACATCCGAACGTGGAACATTCCTTTCAGAATTCCTTTGCTTTTAATGAAGAGGGATCTGTACATGTTTGCCTTCAGTCTTAATTAAAATCTAAGTTAATTTTATGTTTTACTTTGGCGCATTTCTCTTCTGTCTTAATTGGTTATACATAACTGCTGAATGTTAACTTTTTGTGAATTGAACTTCTAAGTTCTAAACGTTTTGCCTTAATTCTTCTGTCCTCTGCAACTGGACCAGTTTTGGTGCTGGCATTGGCTGTATCTCACCTTTTTATTTATTTATACTTTTACTGAAAGATTGAATAGATATAGATAATTTGATAATTCTGCTTCTTTTAAATAAAAATAATTAGAGTATGAATATTAGAAATATGTGTCCGGAAGAAGTATTCTTTTTGAAGTTTTTATGAAAAGTTCGATTCTCTCCCCTCTCAAGAAAATTACAGTTCTTAATTTCTATGTTTTTTAAATAATAAATTTTATAAACTTATTAATAACTAAATATAATTTAAATGTTTCTTTAATTAGAGAAATCCAACTGGAGTAGATCTGGAATTTAATAACAAAAAGGGTGACAATGAGTTAGTAAGTTTATATTTCAGCATATAAAAGTTATTAATTCTATACATTCTATTTTTATTTCGCTGTACATATAAATTGTTAATTACCTCTATATTTTATTTATGAGTTATTTTTTTTCCTCACAGGTAGAATATGAAAATGAGGAAACGTGGTTTCAGTCCACTTTAACTTCAATCTCTATAGACTGGAAGTTGTGTTTCCAAGATTACTGTCATCTGTTTGTAGTATATTTTGATGGCAGTATTAGCCCAGAAAAGGGTTTAGACATTCTCCCAAATGTAAGATTTGAAATATCAAAAGATTTGGAAGATTTATGTAAAAATTTGGACGTTTCCTTAAATTCTGAAAATTCGCCAAATAAACAGAAACTTGAAATGTGCTTAAAAAAACATCCAATTATGCATCGAAGTCTGTAAAATAAATTTGTATGACATTCCTTAGTCTATAAAAAATTGCCAAAATGAAAGTAAATTTATTAATGTGTGATACTTAAATAACTTACTTTTTTTTTTTAAATTTTTACTAATAAATTTACTTTTCATTGGAAGAATGACATATAATATTATCCTTTCAATACCAAAAACTACAAATTTTCAAAATCATTATTTCAATTAAAATATTTTTAAGGTGAATGGAGAGGAAACTTTTCAAGGGAAAATGAGTGAAAAATTTTCTTTTCATAAACTGTAAAATATCAGAAACAATGAAATTTTGATACAGTTCTATTTTGGGGACTGGAAGTCATTACGAAATGTTTTGCTAAACCCGCCAATAGATTGGTTCATTATGAAATTGACAATGTTTACTTTTTTTTAAAAAAGTAAAAGAATGCTTTAACAAAACTAGAAAGAGAATACAAATTCTGAAGATGTAATGGTCCCTTGTGTTTTTGTTATGATTGTATTCACCATGGGTATGTAAATATGGGACTTACTTAATGATGAAACATCTTCCATAGTTTCTTCAGGAACGAGAAATTGTTCACGAAAAAAAGGTGCGAAAATCCACAAAATGAAGCGATATTTCAATTCAAAGGAAGCACCAAAATGCAATATGAAAATATGACATTCCGAGAAAAATAAATTCATTGCATTCTCAAAATTGGTTTGAAGGATCTAGAATTAGTTTCTTAATGGCATTTCATTTTATTTATGCATGGTGTTCCATCAATTTTGTCATTTTCAACTTAAAATAAGCCATTGCATTGTTGTTGATTGGAAAAGTTATATAAGGGAATTCTGTGGCCATTCATTAATGTGAAAACCATGTGTACCACGTATTTTAAATGCCAATTTACTTGTCAATTTTAACCACCGTCAGATTAATAGGCCGCACCAGATAACTATTTATTATTTAATATTGAATAAAGGCGGCTCGTGCCGCCTTTCTTTAGTTCCAGACGATGTATTTGAACCTCCTAGTTTAACTGATGTTGATAAGGCACCTCATCACAGCAACCAGCCTGTCCAGTAAATGAACAGTCACCTGAAAAAAGTGCACCTGCAAAAGCAAATTACCAAACTCGTTCAAGACGTCGTGTTCACTTCAATCACAAAACGATTTGTCCTTGACTAATTTTTTCCCTCTTTTTCAGATTTTAAACGCATTTTTTCCCAAGAAGGGAGATGGTGTGGGGTTTTACCTTTCCCTCCACATTTGTTCAACACCTCAATTTCTCTTCCTAGCACATGTGCGATAAGAATCACATCTCTGAACGACTGCAAAAAAGAACTCTTCCCTTCTGTTTTTATGAGTTTGTGTACACACTTTATTCATCGCTGAGATGTATGTTATTCTAACATTATGTAAATATTGTGATTTATTAAAAGAATTTTTTTTATAAATGGATGTTTAGCAGTTACATAGACCCCAAACACTTTCTGATTACATTGTTTTTGTTGTTGTGACATATCTCACTCGTCTGACTGTAATATCAGAACAAGCCCACGAAATTCATCTTGGTAAGGAATGCAAGATTGTGCCTGTTGTCGGCAAGAGCCTTGAGCACTGTATAGGTGATTGTATGACTTTGCTCAGTTCCACCCATAACTTTGATGGAGAGCACCGGGGGAGGGGGGGCACGAGTCTGGAGATCTCCCACCCCTCTTACCCTGCCAATAACCTCTCAAGAGGACTTTCAGCTTGCTGCATATTTAGAGTGCCCTCGTGCTGCAAAGATACTATACATTTACAAACATTCATGATTCGAGTCCAGGCTCTTTGGTATGACAGTCGGAATCACTAACCACTATTCCCGGTTGGGCGGCACTTTCTGATTATCCGCATCCCCATGTATAGATTCTGACTCATTGGCCACTTTCTGATTTGGTTTTTTGGTTGATTTAATTATGACAAAGCACTTGAAGGCTATGCCTGTCGGGATGGATGCCTTCATGGAGGACTTTCTAAGGGAAACTGGCTCGTATGCACGTTACTGGTGGAGGAAAACATGAAAACGACCATGCTGCTTTTCTAAATTGGTGCGAAAAGTTTCCTTAGCTAACTTTACATCTTATAAGTCATATTCTGTGGATAACTAGCAAAAAAAGAAGCACTTTATGAGGAAAAAAAAATTATGCAAAATAGTAAAAGTCTATTCTGCCAATATTTATATTTTTACAGCCGGAAGACAGTTTTTAGTTAAATATGAAGCACAGAAACCCACATGTGCATACCATACAGGTATATTAAAACAACTATATGGTAAATGCATAGGAGCTTGGCTGTTGTCACACGTATACCATGGAAGTAAGAAGTAATTTAACTCTACTACTTCATGGTGCATACTCAAAAATACACCACAAAAAAGCAGTTCTACCAAATGTTGAAACCGGGAAACAGATAATGAGAAAGTACCTATTTATTTCAATGTATATGTGCACACTATTTCAAATTTTAATATGTCCAGCATAATATTTACAATATTTAATACTTGACTCAGAATGGGGAAAAGCAATGTAAGGTATCATTAATAATTATTATACTTTTTGAATGGTAACTAATGAAACCTTTACTCATGATAATTACATATGAAAAGTTACTCTCTTTTCACTTTAAAAATAGTGTGTTTAATTGTAAACAGCACAAAACTTCAACACTAAAAATTATGAAAATTAAAATATAAAACCAGATTGCATGTGAAATAAATCAAAATAGTGATTCATAAATGGACTGCAGATTAAACATGTGTCAAAGTACTTCTTGCCACTCTTATGGCTGATTCCACAAACTGTTTAGGAATCAAAATATATATATTTGAAGAGCTTAACATGCTTCGTCTATCAGTATTACTACATCTATGGTTAGTAGTATAGTTTCGCTTGTGCTCGCATGCAGACACATGCATTTTTGTAATGTTGTGAAGATAATTGATTTAGTTTACTAAGTGAATTACTTCTCCAGTATAACGAACATGTGTTATGGCCTAGTACACTTTAGTGGTGTACCCAGTATAGTACAAATGGTTTACTTCATCGACCCCCTTACACATTTTTATGTAATATACAGCATGCAACATAATCATAATATAAATAATTCCATATAAATAATTTAAAGATAACAAACTAAATATGGGCATCGACCCCCTTACACTTTTTTATGTAATATACAGCATGCAACATAATCATAATATAAATAATTCCATATAAATAATTTAAAGATAACAATTAGATTAAATATGAACAAGAGTTTTGACAAAATGGTTTATTAGTTTTAAGTTTTATTATTTTTGTGTTATTATCATTATTTTTCATTTTAGAAACACAAGCAAATTTTTAGAAACAAAAAGACAGATTCTGATTGCAAAAAAGTTCGATTTTATTAATGTGATAGATGCGCTTGATTTATTTATTGGCTCCTGACTCGAAATTAACCTTTACATTAGAACTCTGTTTCTTTAAATAACTTTAATCTACATTTTTTTATTCAACCACAATCTTTGTTAAAGCTCTTAGCAACCATAAACAATTTTTTTAGAACAATAAAACTGAATAATCTTTTTGTTGCCATTCCAAAAATAACAAAAAATTAATAAAACAATATTCACCACTATTTCAAATTTCTGTTTAAGTCACAACATAGTTATGAAAAATTTTTAATACTAGGCATAAAACTGCTTAACTTAATTTTAAAATCACTTGTTTTAAAATATTCAACCTGTCTTGTTTCCCATAGTAAAATACTGACCTGATTAACCTTTTGAAGACAGGATGGCCATTATAGTGACCATAGAGTCCTCTCTTTGAAAAGACGGGGTTGTCCACTTTAGTGGCCATGTCTTTTTCCCCCATTTTCCAGGTTGAAAAGTGGGGTGAAATGTCAAATTTGACGTCCCTAGGGTTTTAACCACTTATCTCTTTCAAAGGTCTTCCTTTTGCTACATAGATGCACCCCTCTGAGAATCCATTAAACTACACACAAGAATCTTTGTTGCAAATAGGAGGTGATTTCTTAAAGGGGGTAAAGCATTCAGTTCAAGATTCCACGTCCTTTGGTAGCTTTCTGCTACCAAAGCCCCGGCCTCAAAAGGTTAAAGCATGCTGCTGTTAGGTAAGGAAAGGAAATATCAATAATTTTGGCTTGGTAAACTACTTTTGTTTTGGGATATTTCTCTCATATGACTTTTAAATTCCAAAACTTATCGTAAATACATGTTTTGAACAAGACTTGTGCTTAATATCCTCCTTTATGCAATCTATTCTTCTGGCATCATAATATTAAAATAAACTATAGCGCAGTTCTTATGAGCCATGCTGGCACATTTGTTGGTTACTAAAGTATGAAAGTTCAGGAGACATTTAATTAAACTATTAATTCTAAGATCTGTCTTTGTTTGGAAGTATAGATACACACAGTATGGCCTGGGCCTTAATAGTTTCAAGATTATACAGACATATATTTGAAATAAATGGATGCATAAAGCTTTTTAACTGAAAAATTTTATTTCTGAGATTTTAAAAAGAATATAGAAGTTCAAAGAAGATTACACTTGATATAGTAATAGAAAATATCCTCACCATATTACTTGAAAAAGCGGGTTTCGAAACTGAATTAGATAATGTGTCTGAAAAAGAAGGCGTTTCATCTATGAATATGAATATTTACAGAATTATACAGAAAAAATAGTAAATTTCAAGAGTAATAAAATAAAAAGAAAAAAAATGTAGTTTTTAAGGATTCCAAAATAAATACAGATTAAAAAAAACTTGCAGCATATGAGGGGAGGAAGATCTAAGCTCCAAAAGTCTCGATATTGCATGATGGAATAAAAAATTTAAGACATGGAGATATTTTTATGCAAGTGGTTCATATTTATGTTATCCATGGGAGCAAATCAAGAAATGTTCCGTGTAATCACTCCCCTGTGATTTGAACCCATGTCCAATTTTCTATGTTCAGCAGTTTTACTGTTACACTGCCAGGGGTCTTACATTTCTGAAACCTCCATGATTTGATTCTCATTGTAATTAGCATTAATCAGTGCTGTCTTTACAGCATCCTGGGTTCCCTGGCGAACCAGTGTACTAGGGATCCTATGACAACCACTCACAGAAATGAAATGTAAATAAAATATAAATGGATTAGCATGAAGCTCCTATGCTTGTGGGGACCCCAGGCAAGTGCCCAATGGCTCCATGAGTTATGATGACCGTATTTGTATTGAACCAGATAGCTATACAGTCAAAAGTCTTTAATCCAGACTCGTCGGGACTTCGGCGATTCCGGATTATACGAGGGCTATCCAGAAAGTAGATTACGTTTTGGAATAAAAAAATAAACAAAGTATAGGAAACAAATTTTATTATATACAGATGAAAGCCACACTCAAATACTACTTTTCTACATAGTCACCATACAAATTAAGGCATTTATCGTAGCGATGTACGAGCTTGGAAATTCCTTCGTCGAAAAATTCGGCCGCCTGCGCCTTCAACCACTTCGTTACCTCTTCTTGCAGCTGTGCGTCGTCATCAAAACGCATTGATTGCAATTTTCGTTTCACAGTTCACATGTTTCACCCATGTTTCGTCGTCACCAGTAACGATGCGATCGAGTAAAGAAGTCACCATCCTTATGGTAAGCGTCCAAAAAGTTCAACGCTGCAGCCATTCGCTGATTTTTGTGGTCCTCTGTCAAGATTTTTGGAATCCATCTTGCACAAAACTTGTGGTAACCAAGCTTTTCGCTGATGATTTCGTGCAACAAACTTCGCGAAATTTTGTGGAAAACTCAAAGAAAGTTCCGTTATTGTGAAATTTCGATTTTCACGGACTTTAGCATCGACTTTTTCGAGAAGTTCGGCGGTCACTATGCTGGGTCTCCCCACTTCGATCTTCGTCGTGAACATTGGTTCGGCCATTTTGAAATCTTATGACCCACTGACGCACTCCACCTTCAGTGATAATGTTGTCCCCATACACTTCACGAAGCTGCCGATAGATTTCTATCGGTTTACAGTTTTTTGCAGTCAGAAACCTTATTACTGAGCGCACCTCGCAGCTCGCGGGATTTTCAATTAACGCAGACATTTCAAACCGTCACAGTATCTGAACGGAGCACAGCACGAACCTCTCACTAGCACGGCTAGATGCAGACTGAGCTGCGCAACGCTCTGACCCCAAGATGGCCGCGCTAGCCCCGCCCCTAGCGGACACAGACGGAAACGTAATCTACTTCCTGGATGGCCCTCGTAGATCATCAGTTTAAATCTAGTAAGATGGCAAGCAGAAAATATAAAATTCAAAATATGAAACCGTAATTTATGAAATAAAGAGTAATTATAATCTAAAGGGTATCAAAATTTACAAAAAAAAAGCTTAATATTTATTTGTTTACTTTATTAAACATTTCTTTCAGCATGCATAAAGCTTACACTACGCATACATTACGCATAGTCAAAATTAGAAAATTGCAACCAGAAAACTATTTGATGTGTATTCATGATATTTACGATGACGAGGAATTTGATTTAAATCATATCAAAGACGGAGTACATCGAGATGAAATACTACATTTAGTAAGGAATTATAACCCGAATAAAATAAAAACATCTGCCCTGAAGATAAGGATTGTGCTGACAGATCAACTTCCAGTTTGTTGCCGCGACGTCTCCCCCCCCCCTGCAGAGCAGCGTGAAATTGATAAACAAATTTCGGAATGGTTAGAGAAACAAAGGATATGCCTTTATCCACTTTTTGTGTGATGGACATGCTTTCGCTCTGTAGATCCTCTGGCAGCTCCAGAATCGGAAATTCTTTTTGACATAATTGAAAGTTCAAGCTTACTTTTATAAAATTGCTCTAACAGTCTGCAAAACTAATAAGCCGGATCCAATTAGAAGATTAAGGGACAATGCAATCTGGAACATTAACTGAAATAGATAATTAGATAATTTTAGCTTAGTGTATACCGTCCGTTATACATTCAACACGCATTCGTAAACGTATAATGCGCATGCGTAAATGCATAGGCGGCCGCGCAGAAAGTTTGTAGCTTTGAGGTCCGGATTATGGACATCCAGATTAACTCTGTCAGGACAGGCATCCCATATATGCATTTCCTAAGAACGTCTCTTACAGCCGGGCGTCTTATCCACGCATCGGTAAAGATCGCATTCAGAGGACAAGTGATGTGTATACGCATTTTAAGGTGGAACGTTTTTCTGAAGGCCATTAGATGGCATCCTGTGTCCATTACTTTTGAAATGAACACAGTTTTAGGTTCCTGACCTTGAGTTTGATATATTCTATTTGACTTTGGTATTTTACTCATCAGCTGTTCGAGGGTGGGGACGGAGGGAAAGCGTAAACAGAGGTGGGCTTTTTAAATCGCTGTGTGCTAATGAAAACATTCTCATATCTGATTTATATCCAATTCCTTTTTTTATTCTATTTTTTTCCTCTACTATGTATGGTCTTTTAGGGTTACTGTGCGGAGTTTTTTTACGTTTTGCATTGCCTTCAGATATATTTCCGTTCCTTCTTTTTTTTATTTAGGAAAGCCTCACCTCCAGTCTATTATGGCAGAAAGGTGCTATTTATCAGAGGAAGAATACCCTAGTATGGTTAGTGAACCATTTACTAATGCAAATGAGAGTACTGATTCATTTTCTAAAGAGTTAAAAAGTGATACTTTTTCTAAGTTACAAAGTGATACTTCTCTGTGCTTCGAGATTTACCACACTCATTTTCATTTTAAATTTTGTTACTTCTTACTGTAAATAGTCTTTATTGTGTTCTTTTTATTAATTTTAAACTTTGTTGATGGATTTTATCAATTAAAACTTTGGAATAATTTGAATAGCGCTTCCAAAAATTATTTTAGAAGAGAAGCAATTTTTTAAGTATATTTTCATGTAAAATAAAGAAAAAAATGTTTGAAGGGCTAATTTTAACATAAATAAGAGCTCAAGTAATAATCTAAAATGATACCAAAAGTTATGATGCTAGAAGCGAAACTTTTGTTTTTCTGATTTTTGTTATAAAATTAGGCTTAGCGATGCAAAACCTCCGTCCTGTAGGGTGACTGCCTTCGATTCTCTTTCGTCCTGCACGAGCATCTTAAACAAAGGTGCACCGTCGCGAAATGGTTAAAGACTTTTGACTGTATTATGAAATATCTTTCCACAGAAAAATTGTTTTCTACAATTTCATGTATTCTGGCCTAACATTTTCATCATTTCTATTTAACATTTTGTTTTAAGTTACTGTGCATTAACAACCGAAATATCTTTCGCTTATTGTTTTTTCATTCATTATTTTATAATTGCTTTGTATGGATCAATCAACTTCAGCACTTTCAAAATTTTCAAGACTGCATTTTTGAAGCTCTGAGTTATCATAGTTCTGTGTGGCCAAATCTTGTTATCTTTTTACAGTTTTTTAGCGGATTGATTAGAGAATGTTGGGAACTAATCCATTCACTATTATGTACTTCCACACAAGTAGATTCGCATCTATTTTTTTTTTTTTTTTTTTTTTTTTTTTTTTTTCAGAAAAATTGAGAGTTGGAGCTTGGAAAACCTTACTGTTAGACCAAGAGCTGAGCTCCATTTTCCCAAACCAATCACTATCAAAAATATTAAATTTAATCTATCACTTTATTCCAAAAGTTTTGGATTTTTAGCAAAGGGTCACAACAAATTCTAAATGCTTGCCTGTACTCTATTTGCTAATGAAGTGTTTTCCCCCCCTCTAGCTAACTCTACCATTATAGCTAGTTTTATAGACAACATTGCGCGCAGCTTGTGTAGAGGTAAATCTGTCTAGAGTTGCAGAGCTTTTTGCAGCAAGCTTCACTTTACACTTAGATCCTGCTTGACATCCTACTTTATTTTCCTTTTTTCCAGATGCATTCAGTATTTTTATCCTTCTTTCCATCTTAATTTTCAGTCAATCCACACCTTCTGAAATTTCCAGTTAGTTGCTGGTCACAAGAATAATTTCAACTGATAATGGTAGAATTTGATGAACAGATTTGCTTTTATTTAATTATCTTAAAATGAGCTTTCTTAAATCAGTATTAGTTTTCTTTTAAGATTGCATTACACTCCTTTAATTTCTGTTTTTTTGTTCACCAAGCACAAGATTTTTTTTAATGTAATAAGTAATTATTCCCAAATACCTGGATTTTATTATAATAAAGTCTCTCAAAATTGCTCTTGCTTCATGTAAACTGATCTCCAATAGTAGATGAAATCCAGAAGTCTTTAATAACAGAAGTAAATGAGAATAAATAAAAGGAAAAAATGGAAACTAGTTTTATTATGGATATAATGAAAAATTATAATTTCTAGTTAGAAAATTTAAAAGGGGGAACTGCAAAAATCATTAGGAAGATGATACACAGTATATATAGATATATGATGCAGATACCAATTTCAGATATCAGATACGGCAGACAAATAAAAATATAAGATAATACATACAGATATTTACACTTCTAAGTCATTATTTTTCAGGAAGTGTGACACAGTGTGATTTTAGTTTTTTAATGAATAAGAAAAATTTCATTATTACATTTGCAGAAATCCCAGTCTAAGCCATAACAGCTTTAGGGAATAACCATTGATAAAATGAAATCTAGTCTTCGTTGGCCACAACTAATATTAACTTTTGGTTTGAGGCCTGAATCTTAAAAATAGATCCAAACCTAATATATTGTTTTGAATTTATATTATTTTTCGAAGAAGCTTAATGAAAAGGTCATTAATGCTACATGAAAACACCTAATTTTGTTATTGTCTTCAAGAACTAATCCTAATATAGTGACTTGGTAAAAAAAAACTGCAAATTCAAAAGCCACATTAATTAAGTACTGATCGTTTAATAATTATTTTGAATTAAATAATATTTTTTTCACCTTTTTATGATTTTTAGTATGTTGGAAAAGTTGGAAGTGGCACACATAATGTTCTTTTTTTTTTTTTTTTTTTTTTTTTTTTTTTTTCAAATAGAAACATTCTTCTCAAAAAGGTTAGCCATGGCTGCATTAATCCATCTAAGCTGGTTGAAAGTTTACAATTCAATGATTTTGGATACCGTATATTCTAGCATATAACGCGCACTGTGTATAATGTGTATCTACAATTTCAAACTACATTTTTTTAATTTTTAGGTATATTCGCCATATAATGTGCACCCTTTTCTTTTTTGAAGACCTTCATTTGAAGATTTCTCCCAAGCTTTCGAACAAAGATATACTGAAAAGACAAGCAATAAGGAGAATTACATGTGTCTGATTAATGTAAAAGGTGCAAAAACGATTTACGCAAAACAACAGGTCACAAAAAATCTCACCTAACCGTAGTGTTTTCTCTCGTAGTGGACAGTACAAAAATTAAAACCCATGGTTATTTTTAAAAGAAGACAGTGCCAGAATGTAATTTCCCAAATGGTGTTTTCATTCATATTCATGAAAAATGATGTATGGAGGAAAAGGGTGTGATAATGTGGATAAGAAATAATCAGCAAAGCATCCTGTTGCCTCAAAGAGCCAGAAAGTCTTAGTTAGGGACATGTTCAATCCCATCTAACAGATAATAGGCTATCATAGGTTTGGTGTGCACTGAATCCATAACAAACCTATATATATATAACAATTCTTTGTGTCAGGAGTAAGGCTGAATACCAATGTCAAGTACAATGGATGAGCAAATAAGACAGCTGGTGACAGCCTTTGCTGCATGACAAGAGAAGATGGAAGGGGCGGTAAATTCCGTTAAAGAAGAGATGAAACCAGGTCAAAACAAAAAAGATGAAATAGACCATCAAAATCAGTTCACAAAAAGATCGAAACAGGTGAAGAAGAAATGAAAAGAGAAATTGCTGCAATAATAGAAAATGGTTGAAATAAAGATGGAGAAAGTTTTTTGCTGTTGGAACAACAAATCAATGAGAGTTTCTGCTGCTGTTGCCAAGGAAGCTGATAGCTTGAAGAAATCCATAATGATGGCTGGACACTTAAATTTATATATATGCCATCCCAACCCTCTCTAAAGCTATCTAGGTATGTTGAAAAGACCTCCTTGCAAGCGTACAAGACTCAGTTTTCTGTAGTGGCGGACACAAATGGATGTGATTCCAAAGCGTCAGCCTATCCCCTCGCTGTTTCTCTGAGGATGCACCCAGCGAATACCCTCCAAACTCTGCATGAAAACCAGAGATTAGACTTTGAAGCTCTACGAAGTGCACTATACCTGCCCTCTGGTTAGAAGAGTTTAAGAGCCCATAGCAGGCTTCAGTTATAATCTCACTGACAGAAGACCACGGAAACACTCCAGCAGTTCGCCATAAATATTGAAAAGCTGTCTCCTCTCGCTTTTTTGAACTGCCCATCAGAAAAAGGAAATTCTGTTCCTGCAATACATCATCAATGGATTACGGGATCCTGATATACAGAAAGCCTTGCAAATGGTGGATGTCCAGGATCTGAAAAGTGTTTTATTATGCGACATGTAATTCAAGGCATCCCAGCAAACAACCTGTAGAGAAGGCCACCCAATCAGAGCTGCTCAAGTGAAGAAGCCAATGGATCAACTCACTGCTCGTCTAGTCGATTAAAGTCATTGCCTTGAAGTGGAATAGGAGTGACAACAAACTGACCCTAAAGTGTTAGAAATGTGGTAGTGAAGGCCATGTATGAAGGAACTGCATAACACCCAAGGCACATAATTTAAAATCTCTTCCCAGCAAGCAGGCAGGATACAAATTAGTGGGCATCTTGCAAAGCGTAGGTTGCTAGATATTGAGAAGCTCCAATTTAAAGCACTTCAGATTTCTGCTATGAGTGGCGGAAGTAAAATATTCTTCTTCATGTAATATATCAATGGGTTGTCTTGCAGTATGACCATCGATACAACGATACCATCATTTGAAAAGATTGAGCTCAACAACTGGAAGGTAAACTTAACTCGATGCTGACATCCATTGCCCTCCAGACTGTGTGCCACATACCATTACATGGTATATGTGGCAAATATTACAGGCCCTTACATACTTGAATTAGACTTTCTAAGCAAATATAATTCCCCCTTGGATTCAAAAATAATTAACTGTATTCTACTTCTTAAGACATAACCCTGTTCAGAAGTAAAGATGAAGGAGTTCAGTCTGCCCACCAAATAATAGCTCAAGATCATATCACGGTTCAAGCGAGAACAGAATTTTTACTTCCTGGATCCATAGGTTAAAACCGGAATTTCTGGTACAGCATAATGGAATATCCCAAGAAACATACAGCCTAAAAGGAAGTATTAGTAGTCTCAGCACTTCGACAACCTATTGAGGATTGTCATCCTGATAACAGTTGCCAACATCAGTGATAAAACTAAAATTAATAGGAAAGGTGAAGTTGTTGTAGCATGCACGCCAGTGACCTGCATCGTGTAATGCAGGTCACTGGCGTGCATGCTGCAACCAATAGTCCACCAATTTCTATGTCTACAGAATGGGTCATTAACCCCTTCGAGCCGGGTAGCGAAAACGCACGCTTATCGCGGAGGCCGGCAGTGTCTTCTGCGAGCGTCTCTCCAGGGCCGGGGGCTTTTTTGCTACTAAGCCTAAATCCATGAAATTTCCAAAGTATCAACGCATTGTTTAATAATGTTCTATAGAGTATTTAAACGGCTTATGCTTTATAGATATTTTTATATATATACTTTAATTACCTTATTTTTTGTTTAAATGCATATTTTACACATTTTATTTTAATTACTCACCATTTTATGACTTTTAACATTATACATCTGAAAAACTAAATATATTACTTAAAATTCTCTTTTCGTATGAAAAATTTTAAAACAGGGATCTACACACAGTCCTACGTTACATTCCTTGAACTCGTAATAACTCATTTGCCGTTTTGGAGGATTTTTCCGGGAATGTGAACAAACGAAGCATCGTCGTCTCATTTTCTTATCAGTCTCTTCTGAACAAAGTTTTTGGAAAATGTCTTTCAGTTAATCTTTCAGAATCAATTTCGAAGATCAGTATCTGAAATATTTTTGCATCATTTCTGCTATTTCATGCTCTGTTAAACATTTTCGACGCTTCGACATTGAAACGGTAAAAACAGAAAGAATTCACGTCTAACAAGATCTAATTATTTTCTAAAAACTAAACTGTAAACCGAAATACTCAACGCTTTAGCGCATATAAAACTTCTACTTACAATAAACAACTACCATGTGCAAATAAAGTGCGATTTAAAGGGACGTCATAAATCACGCCATTCGGAAACATTTAGTTCCCCGTTTGTTTATATAATCAAAAACATGTGTATGTGAGTCATGCTTCTCTCATTTTGAGTAGAATGTCTAATGCACATGTATCTGAAACAATATGGACATACAGTGCCATCTTGTGGCAGAAATTATAGTTTGAAAAATGTTCCAAGGTACTGGCACAAATACGTGACAGTCGGTAGTAAACGCAACAATGCTCTGGCACGCCTGCGTGTCGGCCAGTAGATAAGTGTGTTTGTTGCTGGCACGTATACGTGACAGTCGGCGCGAAGGGGTTAAAGAATTTCAAAATGTTTTTTCCAGCTTATCTTCTGACACTGGCCAAACCCATTTGGATCAACATGGAATTGATTTAGAAATTCAACCACCAATCAAGAAATATCCAAGAAATCTACCAATTGATAACTAGAAAAGATAGGAAAACTACCAAAGGACATGTAAGTAAACAACATAATCGAGCATTCCACAAGTCCTTGGGCCTTTCCGATCATCTTTGTCAGAGAGATAGTTCTAGTACATTTTGCATTGACTGTCTCTGGCTGAATGACACCAAAAAAATACAGCTCTTCTTAGTTTTGATGACATTTTGGACACTTTATCTGGAAGAAAACCACTATCTGGAAGCAAGTGATTTTTGACGCTTGATTTAAAAAGTGGCAATTGGCAGCTAGAGATTAACCCAGATGACCAAGAAAAAATGACATTTACTACTGGACAAGGACTTTTGCAGTTCAAGACAGAGCCGTTTGGATTATGCAATGCACTGTCAACATTGGAAAGGCTCATAGAGACCATTCTAAAAGGTCTTTCCCATGAAGCCTGTTCGATACATCTAGATGGGCATCGTCATCATCAGGAAAAGTTTTGAAAAAAATTAGAAGAACCCCAGAAAGCTGCATCTGGAAATGAAATAAACCAATGTAAAGTCCCACCAAATGTAAATTATTCACACAGGAAGTGACTTGGACATGCCATCTCTTCTGAGGGTGTATGCACGAATTACGGAAAAGTGTTGTATCTGTAGAAAATAAACTAAAATGGTCATGCTTATTCCTTCTCATAAAAGTGGCGGGGGAAAATGCATGTGTATGAAATGGAAAAACTTAATATAATACTTACATTAATTCAAAAACATATTTAATGTACACAAACACATATTCACACTAAAAGAATACAAAATCAAAGCAAAATATTTACATCATCATTGACTTCTTTAATACAGAATGCTGTATTTTAGGAAAATTCAAAACTCTTCATCTTCACTTTCAACAAATATCTCCTCTATTTGGAAAAAGGAATGAAAATTAATGAACATAAATATTAATATGAAAACATACTTGAATTATTGTCATGAAAGTATGAAATTTTATTAAAAAATTTATTTGAAATGTATTATAGAAATCAAACTGAAGTAAAATATTACTGAAATTATAATATTAATAAAATAATACTCAGCAAAAATGAGCATAATTTGTTTTCATGAAAGCCGGTTAATCAATACATAAAATTTACCAGAATTTTCATAATTGTTATTAACCTGCAGCTTATGCATCATAAAAAGTTTAAATTCAGACTTATGTATAATCACATATATCTGATTCCACACATATTTTTTATATTTTGTAATATAAAATATATTAAAAGATTGTCAAAATTTCAAAAACCTTTAGGTGAGAGGAAATTAATCAAACAAAACTGGATTTTATTTTCTGTAATTAGCAGAAATGATATTCAGTTTCTTTGTCTCCAGATTTCAGTTTACTTTCCTACAACTCTTTCAGATGGCAATGCTCATTTTAAAATGTTACAACCAGTTTTATTCTATTTCCTTTATTTCTTAACAATGCAGTTGTGATGAGTCATGGAAGCAATGATAGAGTGTGCCTTGCCTCCCACACTGTTGCCTAAGAATATCGCAACCCAAGTTTTAAGAACAGTGGAAAAACAGTCCTATCTGTTGAGATGTAAACATTTTAAGCCTTAAAATAAAGGTAAAATTTTTTAATGTGTGTGGAATTTCAGTGAAGTCCTTGATGATTGTGATGAGGATATAAATTACACCTGACCACAATGGTGATTTTTGTACCTCACAAAATCAGCTTTTGTGAAAATTTCTAATACACAAATACCCAGCATCTGGTTCCGTTTTTGATGACTTATCTCTTGGGATTTCAAAACCAAAAGTAACAGATTACATTGGCTTTCATCCTCTGGATCACAGATGAGTACTAATTATGGATCATTTCATGATTTTGATTTCTATATATTCATCATATTTAGTTGAATTTGTACTTTTATTTGGGGTTAAACCCTGCTCAATGTCTGCCATCCAAATTCCAGTTTACAACCAATCAAGCCCACTGATGTGACATTTGCTCGACACCTCCAAACCTATCATTGAATCAATTACCAAATATAATAATGTAGTTTCTCATCTTCTTCCAGATATTGCATCTTTAATTTGATAGCCACTCAATCAAATCAGACTATTACCCTTATACAAAGTTCAAAATTGAGTTTATAAACCAGTCAGGAAAATCCTCCCAGCAAGAAATTTGCCAGTTATTTTCTGGAGAGGAGATTTACTTAAAAACATGACATGTTGAGCAGGATTCTTAAATGCTAGAATTATTTCTCAATGTTTGCCTTTCTCAAATAAGTCTATTTCGACAGAGATTTTTCAACTTAATTTTTAGAAAAAGCTGCAGAAATTTCCAACAGACTCTTAGAAGTAAATCCCACTCCACTACAGACTTATGCCACTTCCCATGCAGTCGATAAATCTATTAAAAAAATATATTCAGAGAATTGCATTGCTCATTTCATTTTCTAATGGCCATTTGTCATACCACAGAGAGTGTAATAAATCTTGGGAAAGAAGCAAATCCAAAAATACAGATTGTTCTATCACAAGATGGTACTATAGGCATTTTATAAAACAATGTAAGATAGACAAGTAACCTTAATTCACCAGCACAGAAATGAGATCAACAAAAAACAGAGGTGACTTATTATTTGCCCCAAATTTCATGTAAAACCTGTTTGTCAGAGAACAAACATTTTTATTCCTGATTAATATCAGCTCTGACATATCCTCACTTTCTGCAAATAATTCTCAAAAATTAAATTCTCCCCAACGAATACTTTTTGCTGCTAATTCTTTAACTATTCAAGTCTATTGTAAAAAAAAAAAAAAAAAAAAAAAAATTGTTTTTGGATTTTAAATTAAGGTGACAATTTACTTGGACATTTTAATGGCAAATGCTCTTAGAGTAGATTTCCTGCATTACTTTGAATTAGTGCCTGATCTTAGTAATAAATATCTCAAGTATTTAAAAATGCAGTTTCAAACTGTAAGCTGGGTAAAAATTGCAGATGCTTATTTATTCTGTACAAACTATTTTTAGTGATACAATTTATCACAAAATTTTAAAAGAATCTCCTTCTATTCCCAAATAAACAGATCATCACTAACTTATTAAACACAAAACTGTTCAGCACACTTTAACTAAAAGTCCTCTTCTGGTAGCAAAACTCATCAGGTAGTTCCAAATTGCTTAAAAATACCGAATAAGAATTTCTAACTATTATGCAACTGAGGCATGTAGATCTTTCAGAAGCAATTATGCATTCCTAGTTCCAAAAATGAGAACCTTGGAAGAGACTTGTAGGTGATTATTGTACATTGAATGTACAAACAATAAAGACAAATATCCCATTCCTTGCTCAGCCAATGTTAATACTGCAATACATGATATTAAAATTCTATATGTACCTCACTCAGTTCATTTGAAAGTACCTATACACAATTTGGCTCATGCAACATGTGGCTTTTCAGTGTTTTATAGATGAAGTCACACTACATTTAGAATGTGTTTACGCTTTTGTTGATTACCAGGGCTCGAACACATTTCTGCACACGGAAAAAACACCTTTCAGATGTTGCAAATTGTCAGACATTCTTGTGTAGTTGTCTCAGGAAACACGAGAATGTAGAATGAAGAATCCCATCATTTATATTAGAAATAGAAATAAATTATAGCCCATTAAAAAGATAACCATATATGTCAGTGAATTGCCAAAAATATTCCTCCAAAATGCTAATTCACACTCAAAATGGTAGTCATAAAAACAGACAGAAATTTCAGATGATTAAAATTAAGGACCTTCTGATTTTGGCCAAAATTAAGGACCAAAAATCGATTCCAAAAAATTTAAGCACGGTACGAACCCTGATTACTTACTTATAGCTTCTAGATTCCGAGGAATACTACAAACATTTGAAATTCTTATTTTCGAAACTTCAGAAATGTGAACTTTGCATTAATGTTTCAAAATGAAACTTTGGTCACACACCTATTGATTTCTTAGGTTTTCATCTCACTGAAAACACAACTGAATCTCTTTTTCAGATTTCCCTCTCTTAAGGAAATCTAAATTTAAAAACCTAAAATCTAAACCTGAACCACCTTTCACCAATTTTTAGTTATGCTTAATTTTTATAATGTTTCATACTTAAAACAAAATATATGGCTTTCTCCATCAATGACATTGTTAGAAAACCATAAGAATAAAAAGAAATCTTGTTCTTGTGTTCTTGTTTCTTGTGTTTCAGATGTTGCAAATTGTCAGACATTCTTGTGTAGTTGTCTCAGGAAACACAAGAATGTAGAACTTTTCTCTATGAAACTCAATAATTGGTTCACATATGACAAGGAATTATTTCCAATTTATCACATGACTAAACACATGTTAGAGGGCAAGAATTTCCAAATTTATACTGAGCACGAACCATTAATATATACTTTTGAGCAGAAACCACACAAATGTTCACCATGGCAACTAAGCCTTTCAGATTTCATTTTCTAATATTCTACTGATGTAGGCATGTGCAAGGTTCTAAGAACATCATTACTGATGCTCTTTCAAAAAAAAAAAAAAAAAAAAGAAAGAAAGAAAGAAATTGATTTTATAACAAAATCTGTATGTATTCTGCAATTTAAAAAAATTTTTCGAAGCTCAACATGATTCACAGGTACAAACCTTCTCAAAACAATATGTCATCTTTGAAGCTGAAATAAGCCTTGCCAATATTCAGATGGTGATATCATTTGTGACATCTCTACATATATTTCTTTCTCTTTTGTTCTGAATTCCTTTCACTTTTAATTATTTGCATAATCTTTCACATCCAAGAACTGCAGCTACTATAAAATTTACCTATTCTCTTTATGAATAGCAAAATATGAAGCATCATATCAAAATCGGGGGAAAATTGTGTAAATCTTGCAAAAGATCAAAAATTCACATGTGCATTCTCTCTTTCTCGTGCATACTTTTCACAAATCCACATGAATGTTGTTGGCTTGTTACCATCATCGTTGAGTAATTAAATAATGAAGAATCTGCATGAATGTATGCATGTTTCTTGCATTGTGGAAAAACGACGATATGTAGAGCCATCCAGTTTTGAATATCATAGTCCTCCACCTGAATATGGGTACCTGGAAATAAGAATCTTGAATTTCAAATTTGTTTTATTATCTCTTTCATGTTTTTTAAACTTTAATGAATTTTTATTATGAAACTCAAAGATTTCAAAGTAAGCAGTGGCAACACACTGTACGGAATAAAATATTTTTATCTCCAGCATGAGAGACTTTCTATCAGAAATTCTAAGGATATGTGGTTTTTAAATCTTTTTAGTCCAAAGAAGTGTTAGCCTAAAGGCTCCCGAAACTTGTATGTATGTATAAATGAAAAAAACACCCCTTTGAGTGTAATATAAATTCTGGAAGCTTTCAGATTTTTTTAAGCTTATTTTATTTATTTATTTTAATATTATGCATGCAATTCAGCTTGGCATTGTGGTCAGTAATTGCAATCATTGAGTTTCGTAATCAAAAATTTATTAAAGTTTAAAAAATATGAGAGATAATAAAACGACTTCGAAATTCAAGATTCAGGTTTCCAGGTACTTATATTCAGGTGGAGGACTATGTTATTCAAAATTTGATGGCTCTAGGTATTGTTGTTTTTTCACAATGCGAGAAACATACATACATTCATGCAGATTCTTCATTATTTAATTTCTTTAAGTATAATACAGGGTGATAATATTTGGTGGCAACAATTTGAAAAGTTATTCAACCCAAAATGATGTTTTGAGACTAACAGCTCTTCTGGGCTAAAGCGCCTTTGGGTTAAAAATAAAAATAAATTGAAAAAAAAAAAAAAAACTCTTAAATATAGAGTTGTTAATTAGAATTCTAACAGAAATATATTAATAATAATAATGAGTTGCTAATTAGGATTCTAACAGAAATACCAAATCCAACTTAGACTTTTAACATCTAGGCACAAATATTTAAAAAAAAAAAGAAGTGCTCTTAGCTGGAGCCAAACACAGGATTTTTGACATCCAAAGACTGACATGCTAATCGCTGCATTACAAGAAAACATGGGCAGAAAGCTTGAATGCTTTACTATATACCTTTAAATTTCTAAAAATAATTCTTAAAAATAACTTAAATGTTCCTTGAAATTAAAGACATATATCGAACAGAAATATCAAAATCAGTATATATGATTATTTTAGTCATTAATTATGCATTGCTTTGAATTTCTCGATGCAATATACTATATTATAGATATCTTAAGATTAGTGGTTGACATGACATTACACTTTGTGATAATAGGATTAATACAACTTTAAGAATTAACAGAATTACTGGTCCTAAGCAGGAAATAAAATAATGAAATTTATATTCAGAATGATACAAAATTTTCAAAGCCACAATTTATTGAAATAAAGGTAATATATAATTAAAGGATTAAAAAACTCACCGCAATAAGGTTTTTGAAAATTCAAATCCAAAGGTTCCAGACAAACAAGTGAATCATCATCAGATAATCTTGCCTATAACATAATAAATACCTTTAGAAAAATTTACATAGTTTGGAAAAGTATGAATTAGCTAGCTCATAATGCAAAAAATATTAAGCAGTTAGAAGTTAGCAGTTAAGAAGAATAAAGTTAAGTAAGTTTCCAACATTTCACTACACTACCCTTAAGTAAAATGTATTCAATATGTTTCTTAAAACTACTCATTTAAGTAGTTAGTATTATGCAAGTTCAACGAAATAATATATAAAAAAAATTACAAGAATTAAGTTTACATGCAGTTCTATAGTCATAAAAATTAAATAACTTGAAAGCAGCTTTTCAGCCTTTTCATACTGGAGGAACACTTGAAAATACTGCATGTCTCAAAGATTCCTCATGTAAATATTATACCCATAATTCATAGCATGCCACTGATAAGTTAGTATAAAAATCTAATGACTGAACCACCAAATTAATGAAAAGAAAAAAAATCCAATACAGTATTTTTTTAGAAATGAAGAAAAACATTAAACTTTCACTTTTGATGCTTTTATAGAACATAACTTAATTTAAAAGCTTTTGCATTTCTCTGCAACTTCACTTTTAATATTTTTTGGTACAAATATTTTAAATTATATAAACTTGATCAAAGTAAATGAATCAAAATTACTTAAGGTTATAAAAACTTAATTAAAAAGCTCAAAAATATTTTATGTGAATAAAAATCTGGAATTTTGAATTTAAGTATTTAATAAGGTCATTAAAATAATTTTAAGCCTAAGTATGATGTAATATTTGTGAGGTAATGAAATCTGCTGACATGGTTGTACAAAAAAGAAAGCACATAGAACTGACAACGTTATTTGATTCTTGCGAAGCTGTTAAATGTCAGCTAAACATCATTGGTAATTGAGTATTTCATATTATGAATGCAACAAATATTCATGAAATCTGTATGAACAAGAATTCAATACATAACATATAATGTATTATCCGTAATTATGTTATGCATAGACAAGAATTCAATGTATTTCATAAAATACAAAGTATTTCATAAATTCCCCAAATGTTAAAAATGCAAAAAATCTATCAAAGCTGAATAGAAAAATAAAAAATTTTGTCTTTTTCCCCATCAACATATGATTAGGTTTCATGATGGAAAACAACATCTAGCATACATCCATTTTCACATTCTATGCCGGTGAAGTTCATGGTAATCCAGACATTTCCGTTTATTTCTTCAACAATCAGTTCAATGTCTCCCTTTAGTCTGGAAGTTATTTGCAGTTTGTTCATGTAAAATTCCAATTTGACATGATCCCATAAAAGATGAAGCAAGCTGTATAATAAAAAAAAACAGGGGAAAAAATGTATTGCCCTTCTTATTGGTGCATATACTCAATTCCAAAATTATTATTTTTATTAGAATTTTCTTTTACTGAACTCTAGTTAAAAAAATCATGGTGGTAGAAAACAAACACTTTGTTAGAACCATCAATTGTTACTGAAGGCAGATAAATTAACAAATCGGCACATACTTCTCTCATGTAGTTATTTCAGTCAACGGAGTACAATGAATGATTTCTAGATGAAGCCAACAGAATTCTACTACTGCCCTCTCTTGATACCACAAGTAAATAAACCATAGGAAATAAAGCTGAACCATAAGTAAATAAACCTGAACAAACCACCAGGCTAATTACCACTTTGCAAAGCATGATATTTTATTGTAATGCCATTTATGATTTTTAGTGGCAGTATATACAATTTCGTTTTATGGGAGTTTTTTTTAACAGCCTTTCAATACGGTTGACACTTTTATGACGGAAGAATTTAATCGCTGACTATTCATCAATTGGTAACTGCCAAACCGCATAATTCATATTGATTCTTTCATTAACAAAGATCAGTACTTTAAACCAAAAGCAACTGAAAATGCAGGATGGAAAATTACTGGACTGATATTTATTCTTCTCACTTATTGAAACAAAGATTCAATAACAAAATCCTTGTAGAGCTATTTACGATACGACATACAGAGGCTAGTACATTTGCCAACTGGTACCCCATTAACAGAAAAGTATCAAAAGAAATTACTGAATGGTTTCAATGTAATAAAAATGAATTAATTATAGAAGACTAAAGTAATAATGTTATAATTCAGAATATGTTGAATCAGCAGATAGCATAAGAAATCAAAAGTGATGAACATGATGATTTAAGCACTGTCACTTGAATATAATATTGGAGAATAATATTTTTTTTTTCCCAAGAGCGGAATCTTTAAAGTGGATGTCTAAAATTAATTTGCATTGATCTGATGCACTGACAGTAGTGGCAGATGATCTTAAAGGAAAAAAATAACTAAATAGATTTTAACTGTGAGTAAACATATGTGCTTATATGTTTTACTTGTTAAATATGATTGCAGAATTATTATATGCAATTTTTTTCTTTCTTCGATACAATTAATAATACAAACAAAAAAACTGTTTTGTGAGATTATACAATTTTGGTCCAATAATCCAATAGCTGCTAACGTCCCAAACATGCCAGATTATGTTACTTAAACTGCATGAGCAATTCATTCTCTGCGACTCATTTTTATGTGTATATTCAATAATGTCCACTTAATTCTGGACAGGAAAGTATTTTAAGAATATAATTTAGTCGGACAAACTATTTCATCAAGAAGGCTGTCAGTATATAGCAAAAATAACATATAGTCTAAAACTCAAATTGCATGCAGGCCAAATGACGATCTGAAAACAGCTGACAGGCCAAAAAATTCTTTTAGCGAAATTAAACTTTCTTATAAGAAAAAACAAAATAAGATTTTAATTTTTTTATTTTGCTTACTAAATATATATCAAAACACAAATAAACAGTAATAATAATAACATGAAGGGGGGAAATCAAATTTATATTTATTTTCCTAATAGTTTTAATAACAGTTTTGATTTAATTATAATTGACGAAAAGATATTACAGTCAAAAGTCTTTAATCCGGACTCGTCGGGACTTCGGCAATTTCGGATTATCGTTTTTTCCAGATTATAGATCATCAATTTAAATCTGGTAAGATGGCATGCAGAGAGTATAAAATTAAAAATATGAAACCGTTATTTATGAAATAAAGAGCAATTATGATCTAAAGGGTATCAAAATTTACAAAAAAAAGAGGCTTAATATTTATTTGTTTACTTTATTAAACATATCTTTCAACACGCGCATGCGTAAAGCATGCATTGCGCATTAGTCGAAATTAGAAAATTGCAACCAGAAAACTATTTGATGTGTATTCGTGATATTTATAATGATGAGGAAAATTATTTAAATCATATCGAAGATGGAGTACATCGAGATGAAATACTACATTTAGTAAGGAATTATAAGCCAAATATAAAAAAAAATCTGCCCTGAAGATGAGGATAGTGCTGACAGATCAACTTCCAGTTCATTGCGCGCCGCGACGTCCCCCCCCCACAGAGCAGCGTGAAATTGATAAACAGATTTCGGAATGGTTAGAGAAACAAAAGATATGCTTTTATTCATTTTTTTCAGCAATTCCACTTTTTGTTGATGGACATCGAAACATGCTTTCGCTTTGTAGATCCTTTGTCAGCTCCAGAAATGGAAATTGTTTTTGACATAATCGAAAGTTCAAGCTTACTTTTATAAAATTGCTCTAACAGTCTGCAAAAAATAATAAGCCGGGTCCAATTAGAAGATTAAGGAACAACGCAATCTGCAACATTAACTGAAATAGATAATTAGATAATTTTAGCTTAGCGTCCGTTATACATTAAATGCGCATGCGTAAACGTATTACGCGCATATGTAAACACATAACATATGCACAAGCGTAAAAGTATTATGCGCATGCATAAACGCATACGCGGATGCGCAGAAAGTTTGTAGCTTTGAGGTCCAGATTATAGATCATTCCGGATTATGGACGTACGGATTAAAAACTTTTGACTGTATTTTCAATTTTGCCGTCATGCAAGTTTGCACTAGCATAATTAGCATTACGTTAGTACGAAATGAAGTTAATATCTTATCGCAAGTATTCCACCACTCTGAAAAGTACAGTAGTTAGCAGAAGGGTGACTGCCAGCCCAAAATGAAGAATTATATTCACCTAATGCATTAAAGGATGGCTAGAGCTAGATGTGCCTTATTCTTTCTCCCATATTCACAGGTTAACATTAATCATCCCACATAGTTACGCAACATAAAAGGTTCATGGTCTTTGGTATTCAATTGCTAATATAAAATATATATATATATATGCTTATACATGGCTGCCCGAGTTGTCTCAGGCTGCCGTGTGTTAATTGTCATACAGTGATGAAAGCAAAAAATAATAAGTAATAATTTGCCAGGCTTTATTGAAAACCCACAATCGTTTTTCAATGGATCCTTTCACATGTAAGTATTGACAGTAATAAAAAGGCAGACTCACTAGCCAAGAGAGGACCACTTGCACTTAGAGACAGCAAACCACATTATCCAGAGTTACTTAAAAAGCATATTTTTGAGAAATTAATGGATACTCTTAAATCTGACCAGGCAGCAAAAGCAACAGGCAAATCCTGGGCTAAGATTCAAGACACACGGAAAAAGTTTTGTTAAAAACCCATAAAGAGGCTGTTGCAAACTTCAGACTGCAAACAAGTCACGATTGCATGGCACAATATCTTAATAAAATTGGCATCCTTCCATCAAGTATATGCCAAATTTGCAATTTGGGCATTGTGAATGCAAATCATCTTCTTATATGCCCAGAACTAGATATAGAGTCTCAGAAACATGGTGAGATAAGTAAATTATATTGAAATGCTAGAGCTTTAATGAACTCCTTATAAAGACTACATCTCTTATGTTCCTTTCCTTGTTGTTTAAATTTTTAACTTTTTACTTTTAATCCCATATTCATTCATTCTGATTCTTTATAAATGCTTGTTCTTTTTCTATTACTTATCATTCTTCATGTCTGATACCTGATCTGTTGTATATGTTTGGATTGATAATAATATATTCAATAAAGCCATATATAAAAGCCAGTTTTAATAATAGTTTTGATTTAATTATAATTGCAATGATTGGCAAGTTGACATCAGGGATATAAATTTTTCAATAGGTATAAAATCAACTATGTTCAGTGTAGAATGTTTCGGTCTCAGGTATATGCCAAACAAAAAGATGGCTACACATCCAAATTATTGATCATAAAGATTTATGCAAATAAATAATTTTCTTCAATACGAAAGTAATTTATTTAGTGCCAAAGTTAACATAAGAAGCAGGACTCCCTATATATTTTGTTATGAAAAAATATCAAAAGTGTAAATGTAAAGCATAACCTCCCAAAAAAAATTCTTTAAAAGAAAAGTTCCTGGTGGTCCGTAGGTTTGGATTTTAGAACATTCCAGATATTAGACATCCAGATTTCAAACTTTGTACTGTATATATTAATTACTACGATGAAGCGAGTTGATGATTTTGGTACGTTTCAATTCTGCCCAAATTACTTAAAACGAAGTTTTTATAAATTTAATGTTAATGTAAAATGAGAATACATTCAATTAAAATCGAACCTAAAGTTACACAAAAGGTAAAGTAATATTGATGAACATACTGGACTAAGTTGACGTGATTCAAACGATGAATAAACTCCAGATGTAGATGGATGTACTCCAGATGTAGATGAATGTACACCAGATGTAGATGGACGTACATCAGATGTAGATGGACGTGCATTAGATGTAGATGAATGTACTACATAAGGAGATGAACGTACTGAAGATGAAGATATTGCAGATAAAGATGACTGTGGTCTGTTTAGGTCCATTTCACATTCTTTTGCTTTTTTTTCTTCAAGCTCACATTTTCGAAGAGCAGCTCTCGCACTCAATTCCATTACCTGCAAGGGGGTGGGAACATATATCATTTGACTAAAACATAATTATTTCATTTATAAATTATTTTTATAATAGTAACATGGTATTAAAAAAAAAAAAGAAACTTAAGAAACACTTTACAGGAAATAAGAAATTTAATATAGGACTAGCTTCTTGAATAAATACATGAAATACTTTATATATACAGGGTGATTTGCTAACAGACTGACAAACTTGCAGGTTGTGTAGGGGGTACAGACACAACTGGGAATCAAATAGGAATGCAGGGTCGCAAATGCTGCAATTGCAAGCTATAGTGCAAAGAAGCAGAGAAAAAGAACAGAAACAGCGACACATTAATGGGACAGAAAAAATTTTATTGAAAAGTTGTACTACAACATATGTTCAAAATTATGACTAGAAGTCGTCTGGCAGGCGTGACAGTGGCACTGCATGGAATTCCTTACATTCTGAAACTTTTCTTGTGTGTATCCTCCTGACAGCTACAGAAATTAGAGCGATGACATCTTCAACTGAAGGATCAAGTATCTCGTATGCCAAACTCTTCTCCACCTGACCCCAGAAGAAGTCCATGCATGATAGGCCCAGTGATCTGGCAGGCCAATTAACCTGACCACCATGATGTATCCACCGCTGAACTATGGCATTTACAAATATACAGTTTTTAGGAAACCATCAAATAAATTTCCAGTAAGTTTACAAAGCATGTATAGCTACAGCCATATCAATTTGAGATAAAATTTAAGCCAGAAAATGAACTCTTAACAGCTGATGCAGGATCATTTATTGATAAAGGACCTCATTTCTTGGAAGAAACAGAAGCCCATGTTAGAATGGCTGTATAAAGTATACCAATGTCTAAAGGTAAAATGGAAAATTTTCAACTAGAAATAGAAAAAGTCTAACATCAAGTTTTAAAAAAATTAATTAAAACTGGATGACTAAATATGAAATTTGCGATTTCAAAACCAACAAAACCACATTTTAACTTCAGAAAAGAATTATCAGAAGCAAATGAATTAACATTTAAAAATTCCTGTTCAGTTACAAATCTATGAATAAATACATTATGTAGAGTTAATTATAGCCAGCTAGAGGCAAAAATAAGATTAGAAAAATATATTCATTGAGACTATCAAAAGGTAGTTAAGTTATTAGAATGCAGGGTCATCTGCCTATGGGTAGTGGTACATCATTGACGACTATTCAAGGGAAACTAGCTTATATTCATGTTATATATATACGAAACCACAAAAAACAATCATGCTGCCAACTTGTTTACCTGGATTTAAACTTAAATTCACTATCAGTATTCAGTAATCTTAAACACCTGGCCACTGGTGGGGTGAATGTCAAAAGAAAAGTGAAGCTTTAGTTCTTAATTAATAATATATTTCAACTGAATATTATTCTACGGGACCAAAAATTCATATGCAGATTTAAAAAATAAATAATAAAGACTAAATAAAATAAATATTTGGAACTACTATTACACTGGTGTGCAAAAATTAAGGACGAGACGGTTTTTTCAATATAACTTTGTACAAAAGCTTTCCAAATCAACACATTCAATACCGTAAGATCCCCAATACGTAAGGACATGAGTAATGTAAGCAACACTTACTAAAAGAGAAATCAGAGGGATAAAAAGAAGCTTTATTGAAAACATAGCATGGAGCGCAATGCGACTGAAGGCCGAAACATCCCTGTGATGGGTGTCCAGCAAGAAACATCTGGTCTTTAATAAGGGATATGATCTCCCCTGACTGCTAGGCAGGTTTCACAGCGTCTGCCCATGCTGAGAATGAGAGTGTCAATGAGTTGTTGAGGCATTGCTGCCCATTCGTCTTACAGCGCCAATCGAAGCTCCGGAATCGTTACTGGTGGTAAGGTACGAGCTGCCAAGCGTCTGCCTAGAAAATCACATACATGCTCAATGGGATTGAGATCCGGAGATCGTGCTGGCCAATCCATACGTTCAATATCTTCACTCTCTAAAATCTGTTCGGCAGCTACTATGCGATGACATGGTGCATTGTCGTCCATGAAAAGGAACTGCGGACCCATAGTGCCTCTAAAAAGATGCACATATGGAAGAACAATCTCGTTACAATAACGGGTCCCGTTGACTGAACCTGCGTCGAAGATGTGAAGGTCTGTACGACTACCAAGCATGATGCCTCCCCAAACGAGAACACCACCTCCATACCTGTCCCTTTCAATGATGTTCGAGGGATGATTGCGGCTTCCCCGCTCTCTTCAGATGAGTATGTGATGAGAATCGCTACTCAGACTGAATCTGCTCTCATCTGTAAAGAGTACTCGTCGCCATTCATTGTCTCTCCAATTCCGGTGTTCCCGGCACCACAGAGAACGCCTTCTCCGATGGGCAGGCGTTAGAGGTACACACCGTACAGGGCGTCGTGCAAACAGACCACCACCGTGCAGTCTTCTGGCCATGGTAAAACGCAATATCGGTCGTCCAGTCGCCTGTGTCGTGTGTCTAGCGATTTCTCCCACTGTCTGCCGCCTGTTTCTTCTGGCCTGTAAGGCAATATACCGGTCATCTGCGGGTGTGGTTCCTCGTGGACAACCACTACTAAACCCCCGGATAGCTGTTCCTGTAGTATGAAATCGTCTCCAAAGTCGTGAAACGATGCTGTGAGCAAATCCGAACTCTGCAGCCACACTTGTCACACTGCGGCCTTCCTCCCACTCCAACTTCCCATTCGAATTCGACCTCAGGTAAAAGCATCCAGATGTCATCTAACAGATTGATTATTCGCCATTTCTCGCTGAGGCAGCAACTCTATGTAATTTTAACTGCTATACGGCGTGCAATCTCTTTGCCAGAAATACTGATCTTACACCAACAACATGCTTTATACTACTCAGACACTCCCCCATTACGTCTACCTGCATATCTGCACATGTGCTACCGTACATCACTTACTTAATCTCCTGATTGGTCTTTCTGTCCACTCTGCCTCTTTGTTCAACTGATATGCTAATTTTTCGACTTCGTCCTTAATTTTTGCACACCAGTGTATATACGGACTGGATTGGCGAAAAATTTCTCGCCAATCCACGATTTTACTTATCTAAATTTTTTATTTACATTTCAAACTGAAAGCATAAAATGCCTGAAAAAAAATTAGTCTTCGTATGTGCAAAAACCACATTTTTGCACACAATTTATGCTAAAAGTCTGAAATAAAAAGAAAAGATTTAGGTAAGTAAAAGCGTGAAGTTTCTCACCAAAAAATTTGACGACAAATTTAAATTAAAATAACAACAATAAATTCCAACACAAGTCAATTAAAAATTTAAAAAAAAAAAATAACAACACAAAATTAGAGCAATGCAACAATTAAAATAAGTCTCTACAAAATTAAAACAATAAAAAAGTAAATGCACTTACCAATCAAAATAGTTCCCAAAAAAGCAAAATATTAATTTCAAACAAAAACTTGTAAGGACAGATTTATCACATATATAATCCAATATACTTTCATTAATAAAACTACGCCAATCACAGAAAGCCTGTAAACCAAAATGCCATGATTTAGCTATGTAGACATCTTTCTACGATTCAAAATTTCAAACGTTACAATAAAAATTTCCTCTAAAGTCAACTTACTGCAGGAAAATGAGAATCCAAACCTCAAAATTCATTGAGAACCACATTATTTACCCTCAAAAATATTTTCTGCAAATCAAAACAAATATATCAGAAACACAATTTTTCTTCCATATCTTCATATTAGGCTTCACATCAAGTTCGGCTTCAAAAATCCTGTATCCCATAAAAACCACAAAATTATATGGTTAGAGTAGAGAGAAGGGTACCCCTTGTATTATCGCGAAGTTGTTGTTTCATTTATCGCCAAGTTGTTGTTTCATTTATTTCCCAATGGTGGTTTATTTATGGTAGCCTGAGTAGTTGAAAGTTATGGAAACCCTATTATGACATAATTGGTTGCATAATTGCGGCGAATTTATAAGGGCTTGTCGTGTGTGTTGGTTAGGAAGTACATTGCTCGTTTTCTGGTTTAGATGGTAAAATGGCTGAATGTGGTAAGATTAATTTGAAAATTCTGTACGATTTGGAAAGAAAGGGGGCTAATCTTTGGAATATGGTAACAGGTAGGTTGGCGACATTTTGGTAGGCGATAAAGGTTACTACCTAGAACTTTGGGAATAATGTGAGAAGTACTCAGTTCCGATTACGCATTATTTTGTATGAGGGAAATGAGAGATCATGAGATATGTCATGTGACATTAATGGACGAATTACAGTTCTTTAATCAGAAAAGGCGAGAAATTTGGAAAAATATCTGCAGTACTATAGTATTTTGTATTAAGCTTCATTGTGTGTTGTATGAAAGAGTGTTGATTAATTTTTGGATCGCATGGCGCTATCTAAAGTGAATTTGAAATGGGTATTTAGTGGGATTGAAAGGAGTAGTAATAAGTGTTTTTTTAAGGTTGTGTGAGAAAAAAAGATGTGCAGAAAAGATAAGATTATTATGAAGATTTATTAAGCTTATTAAGATTTTATTAAGCAGTATATTCTACCTGGTACAATAATAATATTTGATTGCTGGAAGTCATATGACTGTTTGGAGGATGAAGGTTTTCAACATCTTGCTGTTAACCATAAGTATCATTTTAAAGATCCTGAAAGAGGCGCAAATACGAATAGGATTGAGATTCTGAAGAAGTTAGGTAAGTTAGTATTTTTAATTATTTGAGGATATTATTTCTATGCATTGTTCTAAATGTAAGGAGTAAATAAATTAATATGGTATTTTTGGAAAATTGTTATTAGCAATGATTTAGTTTAAAGTAATTAGGATTGTAAGCTAATTTTTATTAATTTAATGTATGTGCTTATTTATATTTTAAGTAGTGTTTTTGAATTTAATTATATTTTAATTAAATGATAGTTATTTTGTGAATTATATGTTTGTAGCAATTTGATATACGTTTCAGTGGAAGT